GCGTTCAAGACAGCGTCGGCGCAGCAGAACTTATCGGATACCTGATGGTGCATGCCGCAGCCGGCGGTGCGGATGTGCCTCGCGCGCGTCAGATCCAATAGGATTGTAACAGCGTTGTCTAAGCGAGCGCCTTCACGTGTCGACTGGGTTTTCATCTGCTCCCACGATGGGCCTTCGTCCAATTGAACTCCGATTGTCTGCGCAGCGGTTGGCCAAGTTCACCGCCGTGATATTCCCGCGGCGGCCGCGCAGCTCATCAAAGCGGGCGCCGGGTGCGATCGGGCTCCACTTGCCGCAAACAGAGCACTTCGATTTCGTCGGAAGAATGCCGCAGCCGCCTTTGACATGGCACTTGCTGATATGCGCGAGCAGCAAACGGCCCCCCTTGCACTCCCCGGAAACGCGCGCGGGGCATCTCCAGCATCCGACCGCGAAAGGGGCACCGGAGCGGGTCATTGCGTTTCTCAGCGCCTAACCAGGACGCCGATCGGATTTGCTTCCGGCGGGCAGCGCATTTCTTTCACACCCTGAACGAGCTGATAGCAGGGCGCGCGTGCATTCGGCGCGCCGTGGATCGCTGCCGCGCCGAATGTGACGTTCGAGTCTTGGGCGTGGATGGGTCCCACATGTACTCGATGTCCGCATTGTGCCAAGTGCTTCGCGGACAGGTGCGAGACGTCGCGGCAGAGCACGGCCGCGATCCATCGCGAGTGCTCATCGCCGCCCAATGCCTCGACAGCGCATTAAATATCTACGGTGCCGGCTCGGGGGGCCCAGCTCATCGGGCGCGCGCTCTTCGGGGTGCTGCTCGCGGGGGGACGCCGATCAAGTGGGGGTGGCGCGTTCGGATTGCCCCGCGTCGCCGGGCCAGCGCGCGCGATTGCGAGCCGCGCTTCCGAATTGGAAATGCGCCTGCAAGGGCGCGCGACACATTGCCCCCAAAGTCGAGCAGGCAACAAACGACAGGGCAACTGTTTTCTTCGAGCATCCGAAGGTGCCTAGCGATGTTGCGCTCGGATGGTTTTGGTGGGGGGCGATATTAAGGGCGCAGCTCCTGGCCGCAACGGGCCGTCTGAACTTGTCGCGAAGATTGCGGATGAGAGCGAGTCTGTCGCGCGCCGCCTGCGCAAGCGCATCCAAAGCGACAGCTGCGTCGCGAAGCCGTGCGACTCCATGCCAGATGTTTTAGACGGTTTGGCTGTCATCTGGGCGGCGCATCCAGATGCGACGCGCCGAAGTACAGGCAAGAACGCAACAGTGTTGAGCAGCCCCGAACACGCTGCAAATGTTCAGCAATTTGCATACGTTCGGAGGTTATGTAAGTACGCGGCGAACAACCCCACCATCGAAATCACGTTTGGCACGACTTGGGACGAGGCATTCCATGAAGGGTTAAACGCGTTCTATCTGACTCAGCGGCATGCCTCATGCGTCGCTACTGCAGCAGGGTTGGCAAAACTGTTCGCTGGGCTTGTGGCTAATGCCACGGCGACCTGGCGCTCGCATTTGAATGGCGCGATCTGCTGGCCAACTTGGCCCTCAACGCCGTTCGAGTGTTCACTTTTCATGCGCCACTCAGTAGAAGCAGGCGAGTGGGTGGATCCGGCTAGCCCGCCGACGAATGCAACGACTATTCGCGAGCGCCCAGCGTCGGCGCTATAAGCTTCACTTCTGCGACGCATGTGCTCGAATTGCTTGGGTTATTCCAGCGACTGCGGGCGTATCTTGCCGTCGAAACAAATACCGTCGTCAGCGCCCAAGTCGTCATTTTCATTGTTGTTGTCCCAGACAACGCCAGACGCGCGCGTCGTTAAGTAGGACCATGTTTCCCCCCCCCCCGCCCCCCCTTGCCCTCCCCCCGTCGGGGGGCGGCCCGTGAATTATCCTTGCGCGTTGGTGTTCAAGCTGACGCGGGAATGCCGCGGCCGGGCCCTCATGTTCCTCTTCGCATGGCATGGGGCACGCCGCGATGGCGGCTGTCCCTTGCATATTGCATGAATTCTGCAGGTCGCATTCTTCGACGCGTCTCGCACATGTCATGCCAATGCTTGCGCAATTCAGTTTTCGAACCAGGCCGCGACTGATTCGGGGGCCCTTCTTATCTGCTAGATTGGATATGCATCACTGGGACATTTTGCTCACGATGCCGTCCGATTCTATAGATGTTAAGGAGGTTCAAAGGCTGTGGATCCCTTGTGGCGTGGGCCCCCAGATTGTTTCTGCCCGTCGAATACGCGTGACATTTCCCTGCGCGTCAGTTTGCGCCGTTAACTGAGCGCTAAAACGCGCGGCGAGAATAATGTTGCAATTGTTGAGGGCGGCCTCGAGGCCAGCGACGTCTGGCATGCGCGCAATGCGTGGACGTTTCGGAGCTCGCTTAGTGCCGACCGCGTCCGTGACCAAGTGCTGTATGATGTTTCGTTCATCGCCGGCATCGTTGCCCGCGATATGGGTTCTGACCATTATGCGCTGCGTGCGCTGCGCAATATGGATCCTTCTTTTCGACTCCAGGAAAGCCGCCGGCACGGCGCGGTTCGACGGGAACCTTCTGGCGCGCCGAGGGCCGCGATTTGTTGCGCGAGCCAAGTGTGCAGGAATCTCTCTGTGTGAACATCGGCAGTCCTCCTCCTTAGAACTGGAGGGCCCCTTTCCTGCGCGCCTGAGTGGCTGTTCCAGCGTCGACGGCGGCAGTGAGTTGGAGGACGATGTGCACGGCCAATCAGACTTTAGTTATCGCATGGAGTGGCATGGGGGAACAATCCATTCTCTCAAAGCAAGTGCTGTTGAATCCAGCTATATGTGTGCGCGTTTTTGGAGACTTGCCGAGTCGGTTATTTTTCCCACTGCTGCCTACGGTCTTTCAACGGCAGCCACGAGCACAGCAGCGGTCTCGAATCGCACCAACACGTTCAACAATGTTTTGCCGAATAACTAGCTTCATCAAGTTTGCCAAAGACAATTCGGAATAGGTGGGGCGATGCTCCAAGCGCCACGTAGTTGTTGTTTGGATCCTGTTCCTGCATCAGACTAGCTCGTCGCACTGTGCCGTGTTTTGTGCCACCTCGTGGCGCGAATTGCCACTGGTGACTCGCAGAAGTAGGCTGCGCAAGTTTTGCGTCGGCGCTTGGTCGGCGCCAAACGCCTAGGCCGGCCGCGGCGCAGATGGACAGATGTCATCGTTTATGTGGCGCGGCAAAACTCTGGTACGAATCGAATGAAGCTTGATCGTCGCCAGCAGCATATCTCTTGGCAGGGGTGGTGAGACTAATTTCTCGATTACGTACGTGTGGAGTGCATGATGTATGATGTTTGTAAATTTCTGGCCAAATCCGAACCGTAGGTACGCCAACGTTGGCGCTGCATTTCGCAGAAGTTCTGTAAGGTATATCCTCCTTTTGTTCCTCCCGCAGTTCGTATTTCCCCAATTCATATTGTTCGAGTTCCCCGGGGTCCCCGATTTCGGCCGACGGTATTCGTTGAGTTGTAAGCCTTCGTGTCGGCCAAGCGGCTGGGACAATAAACGATGTGTTAATATTGTTCTCGAGCCTTATTTGCCAATTATGGTTTGCAAGTGCGTTTTGGTGTGTTTCCGTCTTGTCTCACACCTTCCGCTCCCGCTTGCGAGGGTCTTCCATAGGTCCTCGACCTGACTTGATTTGATTTTAATTGGATGTGACGTGATGTTGCCAGTTCTGATTGGGATGACGAGCGCTGTTTGCCGGTTGCGCGGCCAATCCGTGCTACCGACCTTTGCGTGTCGTTCTTGAATTGTCGAGCCTGCCTTTTGGAGCCAGGCCAGTGAAACACCCAGCATCCTTATACCTCCCTCAACACCCAGATTCACTTCAGACCCGGTAGACCCCGCCCCCCAAAACAACAAAAGGACGCTGATAGCCTTCCTCCTTCCTCCCTCCTCTCTTCTTCTCTTCCTCCTCCTCCTACTCCTCCTCCTCAGGCCCCGGCACGGCCTCCTCCTGTTGCTGTTCCTCCTGTTCGTGTGGGTATGAAGCCTATTGGATGTTCGTTGGGATCTCGTCGGAGGCCTTTCGGGGGCCTCTTGCGGGCAGTTTTGAGGCCTCATGCGGGCTGTTTGGGGGGACGATATTGATGTTTTCTTGCGCGGCATGGCGTGGCTGGTGACGCGACGTCCTGGCGCGAGTTCGAGGCTGCAGTCTGTCGGCGCGACGTCAAGGATTCCTGAGCGCCCTGGGATGCCGATCCTGGTCCGACGTGGTGTCCTGACTTGTCCTGTCCCCGGCCAGTCCCCATAAAGGCACGGGGTCCTGAGGGAAGCGGGTTCTGGATCCTGGGACCTTCCCGAGCACCAGCTTTGCATTTTGAGCCGTCTTTGGACGGTCGCGGGGCCTGTGGCAAGGCCCCCCGGGTCCGAAGCCAGCCAACCGGACTCCAGGACCGCTTTCCCCCCAGGACCCGCTTCCCTCATGCTACTCGCGTGTGGGAAGGGATATGAGGCTTTCGGGAGGTTCTCGGGAGGTTCTCGCCTGCTCTGGGCGGCCTTCGGTGTGTCCCCCGAGGTCTCCCCGGGGGTCTTCCGATATTCTCGGAAGTCCTGCGGGAGAGCTGGGGCGCAGGGGGCAGAGCGGGGGCGGAAGCGGGGTGGGGGTGGGAGAAGGATTGCGCGGGGCGCAAGGGGTAGCGAAGGGCGGCACTTTGGGCATGATTCGAATGAGAAAGCTCGTCATGACACATGATGGGGCCTTGGAAGGTCCGCGCGCCAGGGGCGGCGCCCGAGGCGCTTCCACAGGTGTCCAGCGCCGAAGAGAGGAATCCGCGCGGACTGGCGAAAGCGTATATTTTGGGGGGGGGAGTTGGCAAAGGGCAGGGGACGCAGTAGGCGTGGGGGAAGGGCGGAACCACGGCGGGGTAGGAGGCAGGGGGGGCAGTGAGGAGAGGGGCGAAGGGCGCGGGGAGGCGCGGTAAGGGGAATGGGGGGGGAAGGGATGGCATGGAGAAGGACCCCAGCACGGCTCGAGCCGTCCTGGCCCAAAGGTGGCCCCCCTTCGCGCGGGAGCCCCGCTCGCCGCGCCCGCCGGCGCTCGCAGATGCTCCCCGCCAGGGGCTACGCTCAAGTCGCTGCGGGATGGGACTACACGGTCTTGCTCCGGAGCGATGGCACCGCCGTGGCCCGCGGCCGCAATTCGAGCAACCAGTGCGACATCCCTGCGCTGGACGGAGGGCTGGCGTACACCCAGGTCGCCGCCGGGGGGGACCACACCGTCGTGCTCCGGAGCGACGGCGCGGCCGTTGCTCGTGGCCGCAACGCTCAGGGCCAGTGCGACATCCCGGCGCTGAAAGGAGAGCTGGTGTACGCCCAGGTCGCTGCGGGGGGGGACCACACGGTCTTGCTCCGGGGTGACGGCACGGCCGTGGCTTGTGGGCGTAGTGCTCACGGCCAGTGCAAGATCCCGGCGTTGGATCGCGGAATGGTGTACACGCAAGTCGCCGCGGGAGGGGACCATACGGTGTTGCTCCAGAGCGATGGCAGGGCCGTTGCCTTTGGACGCAATGCTCACGGCCAGTGCGACATCCCAGCGGTGAAAGAAGGGCTGGTGTACACGCAAGTCACCGCGGGCGGGGACCACACTGTCTTGCTCCGAAGCGATGGTGCGGTTGTGGCTTGTGGGCGCAATGCCCACGGCCAGTGCAAAATCCCAGCGCTGGGCGAAGGGCTTGCGTACACGCAGATCGCCGCAGGAGGGGACCACTCCGTCTTGCTCCGGAGCGATGGTACAGCCCTGGCTTTAGGCTGCAATGATTACCGCCAGTGCGACCTCCTAGCTTGGGATGCAGGGCTTGGCTACACCCAGGTCGCCGCGGGATGGGACTACACGATCTTGCTCAGAAGTGATGGCGTGGCCGTGTCCTGCGGCCGCACTTCCAGCGGCCAGTGCGACATCCCAGCACTGGATGGAGGGCTGGCGTACCTCCAGGTTGACGCGGGAGGGGACCACACGGTCTTGCTCCGGAGCGATGGCTCCGCCGTGGCTTGCGGACGTAATGCCCACGGCCAGTGCGACGTCCCGTCGTTGGACAGAGCGCTGAAGTACACCCAGGTCTTCGGTAGCAATTCATGAGAGCCTTGTATACTCTCGTTTTTCGTCTTTTGAGTGCTTTAGCGTCGAGTAGCGTTTGGCAATCGATGAGATAGCAACGGCTCAGCGTCGGTTTAGCGTCGATTAGCGTAGTTCAGCGTCGATTCGCAAGAGCCGACGAGATGGTATGGGAGGCTGCCGTGAGTTGTCGCAAAACAGGTCGCTGCGGGGGGGGACCACACGGTGCTGCTCCGAGGCGATGGCGCGGCCGTAGCCTGCGGGCGCAGTGCTCACGGCCAGTGCGTCCTACCGGCGCTGGACGGAGGGCTGACGTACACGCACGTCGCCGCTGGAGGGGACCATACGGTCGTGCTCCGGAGCGACGGAGTGGCCGTGGGCCGCGGGCGCAATGCTCATGGCCAGTGCGACGCGCCTGCGCTGGACGGAGGATTGGTGTACACTCAAGTCGCCGCGGGAGGGGACCACACGATCTTCCTCCGGAGCGATGGCGCGGCCTTGGCCCGTGGTCGCACTACCCACGGCCGGTGCAACATCCCGGCGTTGGATCGCGGAAGGGTGTACACGCAAGTCGCGGCGGGAGGAGACCACACGGTCTTGCTCCGGAGCGATGGCAAGGCCGCGGCGTGCGGGAGCAATGCTCATGGCCAGTGTGACATCCCAGCGCTGGATAGACGGTTGGCGTACACGCAAGTCACTGCCGGCGGGGACCACACGGTTTTGCTCCGAAGCGATGGTGCAGCTGTGGCCTGTGGGCGCAATGCCCACGGCCAGTGCAAAATCCCGGCGCTGGGCGAAGGGCTGGCGTACACGCAGGCCGCCGCGGGAGGCGACCATACCCTCTTGATCCGGAGCGATGGTGCGGCCCTCGCCTTCGGGTGCAACGACTACCGCCAGTGCGACCTGCCAGAGCTGGACGACGAGCCGATGGCACGACCGATGTTGCAAGCATCGTTGCCCCGTTCCTGCCAGGCTGAGGGGGCAACACTGGGGTGATGGGCTTGTTTTCCACCACCACCACCACCACCACCACCACCACCACCATCATTTGGGGGGGGAAGGAGGTGGAGGATGAGGAGGACGAGGAGGAGGAGGAGGAGGAGGAGGAGGAGGAGGAGCAGGAGGAGGACCCCCTCCCCCTCCTACTTGTGGTGGCGGAGGTGGAAAACAGGCCCAACATGGGCCGGGGGACAGCTCGCGGGGGGGAAGCATCGCCTCGGAATCGGCGATGCACCGCCGACAGGTCGGCGACGGGCCCCCGATGTGTGGCCAGCCCGCACGCTCCTGGGCGGGGTGGGCCGTCGGGCCCCCGTCGGCGATCACTGGGCGATCGGGGAGCGCCGCACCGCCCCCCCGAGTCGGTATCGTTTAACCGATCCTCACCCCCGTCCCCATCCCCTTCGAGACCCCCACCAGATTACCCCCCCAGTTGGGGACACACTCCTCGAAACCCGAAGGGAACGGCCCAGATCCCCATCCAGGGGGGTGAATCGGCCAGTGGGGCCCAGGCCACGGCGCTGGGGATGGGGATCGGTTGAACGATACTCGCTGAGCCCGCCACTCCCCCCCCCGCACCCCTAAAGGTTGCCCCTGCCAGGCCGAGTGCCGGCGGGGCCCCGCTCCCGCCGCTCCGGCTGCGGGCGTGCGCGAGGAGCCGCCGTCGCCGATGGCCGGGCGCCGCGCCAGCAGATCGGGGCGCGCGGCGCGGGAGGACGTCGGGCTGCCGCCGCCGAGCCCCGCGCCGCGGGAGGACGGCGGGCTGTCGCCGAGCCCCGCGCCGCGGGAGGGCGGCGGGCTGCCGCCGCCGAGCCCCGCGCCGCGGGAGGACGGCGGGCTGCCGCCGAGCCCCGCGCCGCGGGAGGACGGCGGGCCGCCGCCGAGCCCCGCGCCGGCCGAGGAGGCCACGGCCCCCGTCTTCGGGCTCGCCCCGCAGCCGCCCGAGGAGGGAGCAGAGCATATGGAGCCCCTGCCCCGGGCCTGGCCCACGCTGGGCCAAGGCGCGGCGTGCAGACGCCTCCCTGGCCAAGCCAGGCGGGCGCATGCTTATGGGCCTCAGGCCTCCCAGATGGTGTCGGAGGATCGTGCCGCATCGCCGATGCATCGCCGATGCATCGGCGTTACGGCTTGATGGGCCGCCCGAGTTTCTCCGCGCCGACGTCGCCGATGCATCGCGGACGCCGATGCATCTCCGATGCGGTGCAATCCCCCGACCCCATCTTACTCGGAATCCATCTGGGAGGCCTCTAGTATGCACAGCTCCTGGGCCCAGGATGAGCCAGGACTGGGACAGTTTACGGCAGGTTCGCGTCGTGTCGATTGGCGGCGACCCAGCCGCCGCCGCCGCCGAAGTTGAACGACCAGACGTTTCGGAAACGGCCGATCGTTCAAGGTCGAACGATCCTCGCGGTGGCAGAAACCCAGGACGAGCCAGGCCCGGGGCAGTGAACGCGCCCGTCGATCAGCGCCGATTCGCAAGAGCCGACCACACGGTATGGGCGGCTCCCAGGAGTTGCCACCGACGCAGCGGAGATGCACAGACCCCGCCGCCCTCGAGGAGGCCACCGCCCCCCTCTTCAGGCTCGCGCCACAGCCTGCGGGCGAGGCCGCCCCAGCGGGCGCGCCCCCCGAGGGGGCCCTGCCGCGGCGGAGCTCTGCGGCGGCCAAGGAGCGGCACGCACGCAAGAGGGTGGCCCTTCGCTGGGGCCTTTGGTGCCAGGTCCCGGATCGGGTGTCGTTCAACCGATACGCATTCGGGGCTCAAGAGACGGGGGTCGATGCAAACGGAGGTCAGTCAGAGCGCCAGATCTTGCAGGATCGTGCAGGGCCAGGGGTGCACTGATTGGGCGCAGGATCATGCAGGATCTTGCCTGACCCGGGTTTGGGTTGACTCGGGTCAGTGCGTCCCCGACCCATCCCCATCCCCATCCCGATCCCCACCATCCCACCACCCTAGTTGGGGATGTGCCCCCCGAAATTCTGAGGGAACGGCCTATATCCCCTTCTCTAGGGCTGCAAATCAGCCAGTGGGACCCAGGCCACGCCCGTGGCGATTTGAGATCGATTGAACGATGTTCATGGGTGCCGCAGTTCCCTCTTCCAAGGGTTGTTTGGAGCGATTTTCCTCTTAACCCCACCTCTGCCCTATACGCCCCGCGAAACCGGGGTTCCCCTCAAGCACCGGCCCGCGCGCCTGGAGTCGGCCTCCCAGCGGCCCCCCTGAGGCCGCGCACCGCAGGCCACTCCGCCGGAGTGGCCTCAGGTGCCAGGCCCGCCTCGGAGGCGACGATAGGGGCGAATAGCCCAGGGGCGGGCACTACTCGACTACACGTAAGAGTGACCCTGCGCCGGAATGATTTTTGGCGCGGGCCCACTGGGGTCCCCCCCCCCGATCGCCGAGCACAATGCGATAGTAGCGTCTTGCGCGCCTGTGTCGAGTCCCCCCGCGGCCCCCAAAAGCCTCGCACCAAAGGTCTCTGACCCAAGATCACTCCTGCGTGCAGCCAGACTACACACGTATTCGCCAGGGAGCCTCGCCGAAGACATGGGCCGTCGGCGCCACTGGGTACGTGTGCTGCCCCCCCACCTGGGGCTACAGTCGGACCGAGGCATAAGATCGAGGTCGGTTCCGGGAGGTTGCCCTGACGTTCTCCGTGCTTGTCGGATGCTCCTGTGCATCCCTAGGAGTGCACCCCTGGATGTCGGCGTGTCTTGGCCGGCGGAGGGCCCCATGTTCTTGAGAGCTGTTCTTCTGGCCCAGGCCCGGCTGTGTTCGCCCCTCTCGTCGCCACCGACCTCCACCGGGCCGAACGAAAGGGGTGGATAGGGAAAGGAGGGGGGGGGTACGAAATCTGCTGCATGCAGCTGGCTTCGGCCCCGCCGCCGCGCCCATTCCTCGATGCATGGGCGCCTCCCGGCGCCGGGAGTGGGGAAGCCAGCTGTACGTGAGCTGATCCTCTATCCTGCCCTCTGCTATCCCTCCCTGTCGTTCCCCCCTCGACCACCAGGGCGTTTCCCTGCCCGCTCCCGCGGTCTGCGCGCCTGGCCCCGCGAGGCCGCGCCCCCCGGCGGCCACCTCTCGTCGCCCCCGGGGGCCGCTCCCGCGCGGGGGCCGCGAGGAGGCCGCTCTCCTGCGCCAGCGGGCCCGCCTCGCGGCCTCTCGTGGGCCCGGCATCGGCCGTCGGGGATGCCTCTCGGCGACTACCAGAGGGTACAGCTGAAAAGATGATCAACACAATCATCACTTAAATTACACTCACTGCGTGGAGATCCCCATATGTGCATCTTCTTAAAAAGATCATTGTCAGTGGGATCTGGGAATGTGCGTCTAGCCATGCAATGCAACATGCGAATATCATGTTGAGACATCCCCACAGAACGGCCGCGAACGGACCCTTGAAAACACCCTTGGCGGCTCCCCCTAGGGGTGCTGAAACCAGCGCCCCGCCTGAGACATCCGCACAATCTACTCTGGTAGCCAAGGATGTTGAGACAGAAAATGATCAAACCGCTTGAGACATCCCCACAAAACGGCCGCGAACGGGACCGTGAAACCACCCCTGGCGGCTCCCATTGGGGGTGCTGAAACCAGCGCCCCGCAATTCTGTGTATGAGCTAGTCTGGGTATGAGTGAGTCTCAGTATGAGTAAGTCTGAGTAGGAGTAGATCTGAGTATGAGTAGGTCTGAGTATGAGTAAGCTTGTTTCTATTCGCATGGTTCTGTCCGCCGTGAATGTCTAGGCGCAAGAGCTTTCGAATAGAAACGGGCTTCAGTTGTGACGGTCTGGTCATGAATCTGACTGAGAATGAATTGGAGTGTGAATGAGCCTCAGTAGTACGAGCGCGTCTCTGCGCATGAGCCTGGGTCCTCTTGGGGCCTCCTGGGGCCTCCTGAAACCGACTGGGGGCTTCCTGGGGCCTCCAGGAGCCTCTTGGGGCCTCATGGGGCCTCCTGGGACCTCCTAGGGAGGATTCGTGCCCCAGGAGAGGCCTAATCTATAGCAACAGACGTACATAAAACATTGCGGATTGGAGCCACAGGAGAAGGGGGCAATCTATAGGAACACACGTAAAAAAACCAAGGACTCGTGCCCCAGGAGAGGCCCCCCCCCCCGCCCTCTCTTTTTTTCATACTTCTTATTTTATATTTTTTTTTTTTTGTTCTTTTTTTTTTTTTTTTTTTTTCTTATTCTATTTTGCTTCCCCACCAATACCCAAGATTTTTTTTTTTATTATCTTTTTTTTTTTATCTATTTTTTTTATCAGGAACATAAAGTACACAGGGAGCCAAGGTACAATCTATAGAAACATGGAGTAGAACACAAGGATTCGTGCTCCAGGTGAGGCCCAATCTATAGGAGCATACGTAAAACACATCGGATTGGAGCCACTCCTGTTGTCTTATGAGGCCTCCTGCTCCTGAGGCCTCTCGGTGCCTCCTGTTGCCTTCAGAGACCTCCTGGCGCTTCCTCTGGCCTCCTGGGGCTTCCTGGGGCTTCCTGAGGCCTCCCAGAGCTTCCTGGGGAATCCTAGAGCCTTTTTTATTTTTTTCTTCTTTTTTGCTTTGTTTCTGTTTCTTTTTTTTTTTTTGTTGTATATCTTTTTTTTTTTCTTTTTTTTTCTTTTTTTTTTCTATTTTTTTTTTTTTTTTTTTTCTTGGGACATCCTGTGGCCTCTTGACTCTTGAGTCTTTCTGTGGCCTCCTGATGCCTCCTGTGACCTCATGTGGTCTTCTGGGGCCTCCTGGAGCCTGTTGGAGCCTGGGGGGTGAAAATGAGCGCCTCGCTCGAGACATCCTCCTAATCTGCTCCGAAAGCGAAGGACGTTGGGACAGAAAACATGCAAACCGCTTGAGACATCCCCACAACGGCCGCGAACGGGACCGTGAACTCACCCCTGGCGGCTCCCATTAGGGATGCTGAAACCAGCGGGCCGCCTGAGACATCCTCACAATCTGCTCGGATAGCCAAGGATGTTGGGACAGAAAACAAGCAAACTGCCTGAGACATCCCCACAAAACGGCCGCGAACGGGACCGTGAAATCACCCCTGGCGGCTCCCCTTAGGGGGGCTGAAGCCAGCGCCCCGCCTGAGACATCCTCACAATCTGCTGTGTGTGTGTGTGGAATAAATCAGACAATGAAAAGCTCTGAGTACGAGCAGGTCTGAGATTGAGTAAGACTGGGAACAAGTCCGAGTATTAGTTAGTCTGGGCATGAGTGAGTCTCAGAACGAGTAACTCCGAGTAGGAGTAGGTCTGAGTATGAGTAGGTCTGTCTGAGTATGAGTAAGTTTTTGTCTGAGTAAGTCTGGGTATGAGTAAATCTGAGTGTGAGTAAGTCTGGGTATGAGGAGGAGGAGAAGGAGAAGAGGGAGAAGAAGGAGTAGGAGGCGACCAAGTAATAACAATAACCCCATCTTAGGATATGGGTAAAACTGGGCCAGCTTTCCGGAAATTTCTAAGACAAGCCTGGCCAAGTTATTGTGTCAACGCTGGAGGGGCGAACGCGCTCAAGACACTGAGCCAGATTTCCGGCAAGTTGGCTAAGAACCGCTGGTCCAGCTTTTCTGGAGGAGGTTTCTTATTCGGATGCTCGACTGTATGGTTACGCCGGGGTGTGGTTTGCGATCGGCACCGTTGGGGCCTGGGGGGCACGACGCTGTCTTCGTCGGCCCTCCTCGGGGCGCGGCAGAATTCTATTGAGGTCCCCGCGCGCTCCCCAGGGTGCCCCCCCGGGGTGTTCCCCAGGGTGCCGGTTGCAAACCACACCCTTTGCAAACCACACCTTTTGAAGTCGCCGATCTTCGCCCCGGGGTGTTCCCCAGGGTGCCGGTTGCAAACCACACCTTTTGAAGTCGCTGATCCTCGCGCGCGGAGTTCGTCAAGGGCAACGATAGGGTGGGGATTGGCATCATAGGGGGGGGGAATGCATCGACTCCGAGGCGTTTGATAGCCCCTACCGCCCAGGAGGGTTCGGATTCACTACCGGGGGCCTATCGCCGATCTATTGGCGATGTATCGCTACTTCCAGGTCGATGCATCCTCCCCTATGCCAGTCCCCCCTTATCGTTGCCCTTCAGCTCGGCGTGGATACAGTCAACCCGCAGATTATGGATGAGCAACTTTCCAAGGTTACCCTTGCATCCTTCCCCTTCGGCCAATTCTTGGCCGCTTTCGCTGGCCGCGCCCCGTCCGCACAGTGTCGGCGTGGCCCTCCAAACCTCTTGCATCCTTTTCGCACGTCCTTCTGAAACGGGTTGACTGTAAGCACAGATCCTGGCCTCACAGATGGGGTGCGAGTGGATGGTGTCGGAGCATCGCGCCACATCGCCGACACATCGGCGATGCGGCTCGATGTGGAACCCGATTGTCTCTACGCCGACGTCGCCATGCATCGACGATGCGGCGCGATCCACCGACCCCATCTAATCGGACCCCATCTGGGAGGCTTCCAATAGACACGGATCCCCGACGATCTGATCTTTTTCAACCGGCGTGTTTCCCTTATTTCGGGATTCTGGGGCCTGGGCCCCAGGGCCACCAACAACGGATCCGTAACGTGAAACGACCCCAGGGAAGCTGTCGCGACTTGTGGGGCCGCGGATTCGAAACATCACATCGGCGGGTGTCAGGGGAAGCCAATGTTGTTCCCTCGTTTTCGCCCTTTTGGGCCTCCTGGCCCTCGTCGCCGCGGCTGGATTCGCCTCGAAATTCTCGTCAGAACGCATTTTGGGAGAGGTCCAGGGAGTAGCGGTATTTGCATCTCTTTGTGAAGGGAGGAGGGGACGTTTGTTTGCACCGCCCCGCCCCGTGCGATTCCTTCATCCGGCGCGTTTGCAAGTGCCTCGGTGGTAGCAGGAGTGCTCATTATGCGAGTGGCTCTGCCGCCCTCTCGCTTGCCCCCCCCCGCCAGGAGAGCTGCCTTCCCCAGAAGGCCTACGCAGGGTGCCTCGGCTGCTGTGCGCTCTTCTGCCCCTGACGGCGCCTACCTCGAAGCTGAGCATCGTTTATCCGACCCCCATCCCCAATGGCGTGGCCTGGGCCCCACTGGCCGATTTACACCCCTGGATGGGGACTTAGGCCGTGCCCTTCGGGTTTCGAGGGGTATCTCTCAACCTGAGGTAAGATGGTGGGGGTCTGGATGGGGATGGGATGGCGATAGGGATCGGTTCAACGATGCTGAGAAGGACGTGAGCGACGCCCAAAAGAACGGGGTCGTCTTCGGCGACATTGGCGCAAAGTCGCGCGGAAGCGCCCTCCTCTCCAGTGTATAGCGTGCCGCGCTGGCGGCCCGCGCAAGCCGCCGCGCGAGGCCGCTGTGCCACCTCGCGTGAGGCCCCTTCACTTGCCGTCGCTCGCGTGCCTCTCCCCGGGGGGGCTCCGGGAGCACACCCGCCGGCCACGTGCCCAGCGCAGAGGCGCCTGGCGGCCTCCGCCTCGGGGCATGTGGCCGGCACGGGCGTCGAGGAGCAGGAGGGGCTGCGGCAGCCGGGCGGGGCCGAGGGCAGCCCGATGAACACGTGCTCCGAGGACCGACCACAACGTCGTCTGGTCTGGGCCCTGGCCATGCGCTCCGTGATTTTCGTTCCGTTGTCCGTTTGTGCTTCGTTTCGCTGTTCGTTGGCTTTGTTCCGAAGGCCTCGTTTTGCTCTTCGTGGTGTTTGGCATCGGTTCCGTTTAAACGTGCGTTCTAAACATTGGGCTCCGTTCCGTTGTCGTTGGGCTCGTGAGGGTTTTCTGTGCGAGCTTTCTCTCGCCGCAATGCTTGGGGTGTGCGGTCTACGCGCGCACGAGATGTTCTTTCTTTTCGGACGTACGTCCGGCTGTCGCTCACCCCCCTCGGTCTCCCCTTTCTCCTCCTCCTTCTCCTCCTCCTCCTCCTCTTCCTGTCTCCTCCTGATCGTCTCTGCGCGAGCTGCTTTAAATAGAGCCTCGCCGACGTTGTTCAGTGCCCAAATAGTGTACAGCTTTGTTACGACTTGGTGGTGGTGGAGAAAAACCGTTTTTCGTTTCAAACGCCATTCCGTTTTAATCATCGCTGTGGTCGGTCCTTATATTTTCCGCTTCGTCAAGGACTTGCAGTTTGGCGGCTTTGTCGCGTTGAAGCTCGGTGCAGGCTGTTGGGTGGACGGCGGGGAGCTCTTGCAAGGCCGTCGACAAGAGAGTTATTTCTGGCGCCGCCCCGGACGAGCAGCGAACGGATGGCAGGTTGTCATTTTGGTGAACGCGCATTGGGCACAAGAGTGGTGTGAAGCTCCGCGCAGTCCTGTCCCTGAAGCAGAACTGGGCGCGCACCACAATAGCCAACATGCTGCTAGGTAGTACGCTAAGCGTTCGCGCTCGCCTCGGCAGTGGAGAGGAGTTGTGGGCAACCTGGGCCTCGAACGAGATCGCTGGCCTCAGAGTCTCTCTGGTTTGGATGGGCGGAACCAAAGTCTTCATGACCACTCTCGACACCGACCGCACTGCTGCGTTTGCGCCGCAGTCAGATCATCTTGCCAATGCGGGGCGATGCCATAGTGCAGGACCTGAGTGCCGTGAGAAGGCTGAAGGGCTGCGCCCTCGTGCCGCCGGGCCCGCCAGGCTGAGCCCTCTTGTGGCTATGTCGCGGCAGTTGTGCGGCCATCTCGGGACCTCTTGGGGGCGTATTTGGGCATTTGGGGCCACTTTCGGGCCAGCTTGAGCAGCATTGGGGCCATCTTCGAGCCTGTTGGCGCACCCTGCGGCTACCTTGGGGCCCAGTTGGGTCATCCTGGACGATCTGGGAAGCATCTTGGGGCCTTCGGGGCCACCTGGGGAGCTTTCTGGGGGCAATCTCGAAGGCTCTGGGGGCCATTTTGGAGCGGTCATGCGACACCTTGGCAGCAAAGCTTGGTACAGACAACATATACTGAAACTAATCTGGCGTATCAGCTATTTTTTGTTAGCCACCGTGAGCCCAAACCATGGCGTTTTTAGCAACATGTATTGTGCACTCCATATCGTCAATATTTGAGGTTCAATCTACGTGGTATAATAATATAGAGTGTACAATCTAGCTGTGGCAATACATGTGGTGCAATCTACTTTTTGCTGCGTGGTGTGTATATATATATGTATATATATATACATATATATATATATATATATATATATATATGTATGGCCTGCTTTCGAAAATAGACGGAAACAGTTTTTCCCTGATGGAGCCAACAACGCCCCAACGACATCTCAGGGCATGCCCATGATTGTCGTTCTGAGGCGTCGGGGACCTGGACCACCTTGTGCTCCTGCTTTCCTCTTCTTCGCCCTTCGGTCCTCGTCCTCCCGTCCTCGTCTCGTCGTCCTCCTCTTCTCCCCTCCTATCCTAGTCCTTATATTTTTCCTCTTCGTCTCTCCTCGTTCTTCGCTCCTCCTCTCCTCTTCTTTTCCTAGTCGTCCATCCCTCGTCCTCCTCACATCCTCTTCCTCCTCCCCTTCGGTCCTCATTCTTCTCCTCTCGCTCCATGTCCTTCCCTCCCCCCGCCGTTTTGCATGCCCTCCCCCCTCTCGTGTTATCACCGTCTCCCCCATCTCATCCCTCCTCTTCAGAGATGGAAAAGACTTTGCGCAATCATTGTCAGGGGGTGGGAAAGAAGCATTCGAATTCTGATCGGGTTCATTACCGTCGTCGCAATCGCCACCCGTTAACTACATCATCGCCGTTTTGGTCGGTCAGAGCAGGATCGGAGATCGCATCTCCGTTGTAGCGGCGTCTGTTGATTTGGTGGCGGGTCGGGGGGGAACTTGTGGCAACGGGGGTCGCCTTGGCCAGCTCCCATGGCAGACGAGAAAAGCAAGCAACTTATCAAACACAACATTGCTTTTCGAGCTCGATTCAGGGTTGAGTCGAGGAAGGTCGTGGCGCCGTTTCAGATAGTGCCTCATTATCAGAAACGCGGCGGCGATCCAGTGAAATCGTTGCGTACGCAGCAAGTTATATATGACATCATGAAGGATGGGTACGACCCCATAGATGCAAACCGCAACGGTGTGCTCGTGGAAGAAAAAACCCGTGGTGGCGGGGGGCAGCAACAGAGCCATCCAAGACTCCTTTGCGAAGAAGATCCATGCTGATCCCGCCATGGCCCTGCGTAGCAAACTCCGCGATCCAGCGCGTTTTGGTAGTTTGTCGCGCAGCCATATGACTTGTTTTTTCCGCGACATCCTGGGCAACAGAAAAAGGGTGCGAGTGCTCAGAAACCCGCAGTGGCTGGGCCGGGCGCGTCAAGTGCGAGTGGAAGGTTTTTTTTTGGGACGATCAGGGTAATTGCGATTTGGAGAAAGTGCGAGCTCACGATGATGTTTGGGGTTGACAGTGCGAAGGCGGCCTGGAGTGGGAGGTTCTGCCTTGGAAGATTGACGAGGAGGAGCCAGGGGCAGCTCTATGCATCAGCATCGCGCTCAACAAGAAGGAAGGAACTGCTATGAAAACGGGCCACCTTGAGATCATGTCGACCCTGGTGGGCCTGCGCAAGCCAGATCCAAAGGGGTGCGTGCCTTCGAGCTAGCGAGGGACGAGCTCATCGATTTGTATGGGGCGGAGATCGACATTCGCATCGCCTCTTCGCCCCTGCAGCAGAAAGGGGGGGGGGCAGGGCGCGCCGCATCGGCCGCTCCTCGTCGACGCAGGATCGCCCGTAGTTTCTGCCCCAGGGGCGGTCCGTATTTTTGCTGCCCAAAGGAGGGCGCCGCATCGTGCTGTCCAAACGCGCCCTGCCGCATGACAAGCGCGCTGCCACCGGACAACCGCCCGAGGGCGAATGTCTCTGACCTCGCGTCGCGCAACATTCTGTCGGGCGCCAGGGGGCCCCAAATGGCTGGCGACATCCACCGTTCTGGTGCCGGCGGCGTTGCTGATTAAGTGCCTTCAGAGGAATGCCCGGGAAACCCGCCGCGATTCTTTCGACGTGTCCTCCGAAAGACCGGCTGGCCACCTTCGCACGAGTGCGACTTGCGAGTGTAGAGCGGTAAGACGCAGGCGGAGGAGCTTCAGAAAGCACATGTAGTGTTGCCCCGCGAATGTTTAGATCGTTTGGTGTTCTTCGGCCACGCAGATGTTCTGACTGGCGCGCCTGGGTTAGATCCCGTCTCGCTGGCCCACCTCAACAATGCAATTTCGTTTCTCGGCGACTCCCCTGTGGCATCTGCGGAGCTTATATCGCTTCTACTTCCTGGCTTAGAGGGCGAGGCAAGAACCTCCGCGTGCCTATCGCGCGCATGCTGAAGAACCAATTGTCCCCATGCGCCCTGGATGATAGTTTCGAAATAGCCCGCTGCGCGCACTTCGCAATCATCGCGCGGCCGTCGCGCAGACGCGATGGCTCGCCATTCGGGAAGAGCGACATGTGGGGGGCCACGCAGCACCGCGAGAGGGCGACTCCCTCCCATGGGTGTTCTATGCCAGATCATGGGCGACTGGGAGATGTTCAAGGAGGTGCTGAAGCTGCCAGCGTGGCAAGACGCGGAGCGCTGTTTCCAGTGCAAGATCAAGTTGTCCGAGGTCCGAGGGGAACGCAAATGGCCCCACCCTACTATCCCCCCCCCCGCCCCCCGCCCGGCCTGCCGCCCCTGCGCTGCGAATGAGATTGGGCGCGGATGTGCCGCTGCATCACCATGTGCGCTGATGTCGCAAAGTCACACCCTTATCGTTAGGGGGGCTCGCGCGAGAAGCGGGGGGGGGGCGGGGCGGGGCGGGGGGGGGGGGGGGCGTCGGCGCGCGCGGGGGGCGGGCGCGGGGGCCCAGCCGGGGGGGGAAGGGGGGGGGGGAGGGGGGGGGAAACACGGAAGAGGTGGGCGATAACTTGCAGCAGCAACGGCGGGAGGTAAAAACGGTCCAAAGAGCAATGCGAGCCGACTGAAGGAGCGGCGGGATAGGATGAACGGAGAGAAATGTAGGGGGGGAAAAATGAAGGGGGGCGGCAGGTTCGGCAGGGAGAACGGGTGGAAAGTGCAGGGGGA